TACAAAAACAAACGGGAATTTAGAAGACCGGTTGTTATGAGGATAACAACAACAATCACACTACGGTTAGGGCTCCGAAAAAAATATCAGAAGGGCAAAATTAGCCCCCACATCTTGAGAGATAGAGGCAGTTATTGTAAGCTTTATGAACCGGAGAGGAACAGATTTTTCAGCTATTTTCATCGATATAGTTTCTGGTTCACGCGAAATCTCATCCGTCTAGGTGTATAAAAGGAAATCAAGGTACCGCCCATGCGAAACTCTGGCGACAAATAGTGAACAGTTCGCTTCCGCTCAAGTTTTATTTTGATATAGGTAATGTAACGCTAGGTTTCTTATGTACAGATCTCAAACATAATGTCCCTTAAGGTCAACTTTTCGCTTAAGCTCAAATCTCCTATAATTGCCTTCTTGCTGGATCGAGCTACTTTGAGATTTCATGTTAGCCCTTTAAGTTTCTATAAGTTAGACTATATGTCAGTGTCCACAATTTTTGAAATTTGAATCTATAAATGGCTCAATCACTTTCTATTTTGTGTATATCTTGTTAAATGAAAATAACTAAATCTCACGGATGATCCCTTGAATTCTTAATAAAAAAAATCAATTCTCAGAAATCACTCAGTCTTGCACGATGAACTTAAATGGTGTTCAGACAACGATGATGAGTCGCAGAGAAGGTCAACAATTATAAGATTGATTGTTTTTTCTACAGTTTGCTTTGGACAATAACAGAGATAGGATACTTGATACCTTTTCAGGAGAGATCATCAAGGCTGCCTATGTTCCACCTCAAACTTTGACGTGTGGCCAAAAAACTAAGCGGTGGTTTAGAAAATATTTCTTAGAAGGCACGTTAGCACCTCTATGTTGCTCTTAGGATATAGAAAAACTTGATTTGCATCTATAGGACAGCATTTGGAAGATGAGGCTGCTGAAGAGCTGCAAAATCTGCCGGAAAATCCAACATGGCACGATTTGATATTCATTAAATACCGTAAATTTGTTGCTATGCTTATTCCATTCCTTATAGTGCAGGTTAGTTGAGACCCCAACTTTAATATCGATCAATATAAATCAATATTTCTTTAGTCTATTTGGTGGATGAATGCGATTCGATGGAATTTCTTTCGATGGTACCCAGATTATTGGCATATGCCTGTAACTATGCTTCTTGGCTCATTCGTAGGAGGTAATCAGTGCGAATCAATACAATCAATAATGCATTTTCACCAAAATATTTTATTGAAATATACATTTTTTGCAGGTATGACATCAGAGGGCAGCGGTGCTGTTGCATTCCCAGTCATGACATTGGCGCTTCATA